CGAACAATTGATACATCCCAGGAGTTGTAATACGGAAACAAGGTCAAACGTGATAAACAAACATTCAATTTGTCGATTTTGTTGTTTTCTTTAATATTATTAAAGCTATGCCCCCGTATTATGGTACACCCTGTACAGCTGTATTAAAAGTATACACCGTGTATATTTTCTCCGAAGATGAGACGTAGCTAGTATGAGTAAGTTACGCGGGATGGATTATAGGAAAGCTTTGCGATAAACTTGGCTCGTAATTCGGCCACCAGTTGCAAGTTTTGCACACGCGAAAACGGTTGTTGACCAGTACAAGATACATTAAACGTTGAACGCGGTTTTGCCTATCGAGTATCGTAATAGTTTTTCGTATTTCGTACTTCGTATTTTGTGTTCCGTATTTCGTTATTTGGAACTGAAAAATCAAATTGCGGATTCTATATGAGGGATCGCGAGGAAAACTTGTTCGTTGATTTTTCATTCAAGGAAAGCAGGAAAACTGCAAAAACGGTCTACTTAGAAGGGTGTGTTGGTTGAACCGCCTTTGAAATGTCACTTACGTTTTCGTTCGATTTGTTTTCATTTTGAAAGTTGATCGCGTCGATTGGTACGATCAGCGCGCGTACAAACATACACGGTTTAAAATAGCGTTCGTTCATCGTTTCAATAAGAGGGCAACGGAATAAAAAGTTTCAATTGATTCGAAACAGTAAGTTACAAATCGGAAAAGAACGGATTGCATCAAAAAAATGGAAGAGGGTGTAGCGGGGAATGTTGCCAGCAATAACGCGGAAGCAACAAATAAAGGTAACGATTCGTCGAGTGTGTTAATTCGTCGTTTTTTCAATCACTAGATGTGTTCTCGCATAGGATACGTAAAGTAGGTACTATGTACGTACCTACAAAACGATCAAAAATTACTGTAACAGATCAAAATGTTAGAATACATTTTAGTAAGATTCGAGTTATTTAGTGAGTAAACTTGAACTGGAATTGGTTACAATTAAGATTGACCCGTACGCAAATACAATGATCTTGCGCTGGATTTGCTCGCATACGCGAAATCGAAATTACCGACTGAATCTTGAAAATACCAGCAGCGAAAATAACATCGCATTTATGTGTGACTAATCGTGAGAAGTAAGTATCTGGTATAGGCAAAGGGAAATGAACATCTGACGGCATAGATCGAAAATAATTGTTGGTGATGGGCCAACTGTACCGCAGAAACGACAGGAACATACAGAGAGAAATATGAAAGAAAGGTGGTTGCGGCCGCGGTCGCGGTCGCGGTCGCAACCGCACTCGCTTTCACATCGCATCGTCAAAATTTCTTTTTCCTAAACACTACAGCGCTTCGTATCCTGTGTTAGGCACATTTCATGTTAGCCTGATTCTTCATCAGTTTACAAACTTTTTGTTTGATTGTTCAGCGTGATCGGAAAGAATCGCTTATCGATACGAATATATACTTCGCTTTCTATGAAAATTCATGGTAAACTCGAGCGGAAAAAATTTTTTTCGTTGTTGGTTTTTAATTGATTCTGTTTAACACGTTCGCTACTAGTGTCACATATTTACGACGGCCGTAATCCTATATTTTACATAATGAAAATGAAATTAATCTTATGGATATTGTTATTAGAAATTATAAACGACATTATATTCAGGAACTAAATGACTCGTTTCTGTTTCATTTTTTCAATATTTTGTTTAGAAGATTTATTCGATTGAAGAAAATATTATTATTAAAGAAACCGTCACCAGAATAAGCGTTGGTAGCGAACGTGTTAATGGACCAGATCGTCCAGCTTTCGAATCATTTTATTTGGTACGCAACCTCCTATTACTAAAGAAATACGGAGATCTATATAGTTGTTGGTATACGCGTATAGTATCGTCCTGGTTGTCACAGTTTTAACCCGCATCGATCGACGTTCCTCCAGGACACTCCCGTTTCATTAAAACGGAAAAACAAATGGAATAAAGGGGAATGGAATGGAATGGAGTCCATTCGTGTTTCCGTTAGGATACAATAACGATTCGATCCGTTTTATTGAAATGTTGTCAATGGGTTTTCAATTTGTTTCGAATTAGAGAAGATATATACATAGTATGTGTATATGGTTCGCGAATGTGTCATACTCTCGGTGATGAATGTTGCTTTTTAGAGAAATCAAAGGACCATACTGGAAATGAAATGGATGTCGAGGAATTGGAACAGCTTCGAGACAAGTACGAGGGGAAGTTGACGGCGTCTCTTTATACCGGTACCCTGCTTATCGCTTTACTCGGTTCGCTTATAGCCGTGGGAGTTATTTGTGCAGCCAACTATCGGGTAAATTCACCTCGTTTCAATTGTCCTTAATGACGTGTTCTTTTCGTTTCTCGAATGCACGATGTGCGTAAGTACGTACTTACCTAGTGTATACATTTCATATTTTCGACTATCGTATCTATATAAGTACTTAGGATTAGATGAGTCGTATAATAGATTTCAAAAGACAAAGAAGGTGGTCGAGAAGCGGGGATGCTGATACGTGTAACAAAAAAAACATCGGTGCTATGAACATCGTCGGCGATACCTCGCCAAGGGGTGGAAGAAATGATAAAACTAACGATACTAGCGTTAAGTCTTCCAATCGAGAAACGACTGATTTGCCGAGAGACGAAATGCAGATGTGTATCAAACTATTCCTGTTCGCAGGATCTGTATAAAGCCGTCATCCCTGTTGCGAGCTTAACGATAATGATCTTCTTCTCGTTGAGTTTGTTATTCTTGACACAGCTGCCGTCCACATTGACTTCGGCTAGAACTAGGTACCTCATAGGTTTCGCTTCTTCCATTATACTTGGTCTTGGAATTTTGAGCTTAAGGAGTTCTGTGCCTTTATTCGTTATGATTCTCGCGATGATCGCCGTTATGCCGAGAGCCACTCGACAAACACCAATTATCATCGCAGTCATCTTTATCCTTGTTCACGTGGTCAGAAACTTTCTATTTTCCGACAATTCGAATCACTTGGACATGGTCAAGGTATCTACACTTCCATCTGTTTTCCTTGCTTGTTTGCTTGCTTGCTTGCTTTCTTAATTCCTCCCTTCTTTCTGTTCTTTCTCCCTTACTAATTGTCTATCGTTCTTCTTTTCTTCCTTTCTTCCTTTGTATCTTTCTCATTTCCTACGTTTCTTCGTTCCTTTAATCGGAAATAACAACAAGAGACAGTAAAATAATTATTTGTCCGTCGCTCGATCGTTTAGACGTTCGGCGAAGTTGTGTTCTTGGCTGGAGCGATTTTCGCTGGTTCCTACTATAGCATTTTAACCGCAAAAGCTCATAGTAGAACATTCTCCGGAACGAAAACGGTCATCGAGTCCCGAATCAAGCTGGAATGCGAAAGAGAACAACAAGAACAGCTATTGCTGAGCGTTATCCCCGCGTACATCGCGGCCGAGGTGAATCATTTGATACTTTTCAATTTGGCGAGTTTTCATTTTACTGGATTTTACGGCACGTACGATTATTCTTGAACAGGTGAAAAGAAGCATTATGCTGAAAATGGCGGACGCGTGTCAAGAGGCCAGTAAACACCAGCAAACGAGATTTCACGAAATGTACGTGCAAAGACATAATAACGTTAGGTAAGCTGCAAAGTTTAGATAATCGAATGGTTGAAATGAAATAGCACAGATATAATGTAATATAATGGAAACGGTACGTTAGTAATATTACACGTACTAGTAGTAACATACATGCGTAATACACGATACGATCTTGCGTCGATTGGCGCGCTTTAATTAGTATCCTGTACGCGGACATTGTGAATTTCACTCCACTTTCGGAACAATTGTCGGCGTCGGAACTGGTGAAAACCTTGAACGAACTGTTTGGAAGATTCGATCAAATTGCCCAGGTAAAAATGTAGTTCTTTTTGTAATTCTAGTTCGCCTCGCAACTCGATCGTCTCGATTACCTTGCATGTACATACTTATCTACTTATGTCGGTTCGAATTGCATACGGATCGATCGTTCTTAAATATTTCGCACGTATTTTTAGGATAATCAATGCATGAGAATCAAGATCCTGGGTGACTGTTACTACTGCGTTTCAGGATTACCGATTTCCCGTCCAAATCACGCGTACAACTGTGTAAATATGGGATTAGAAATGATAGAAGCGATCAGGTGAGCGATCATAGAGTGACGATAGAGTGATCGTAGAGTACCCGTCCCGCGAATTCATTCAATTCAAATGTTTACGCGTCAGATTTGTACGCGAGGCAACGGGATTTCACGTGGACATGAGAATCGGGATACATACCGGAAACGTTCTATGCGGCGTACTGGGTCTGCGTAAATGGCAGTTCGATGTTTGGAGTGACGACGTTACTTTGGCGAATCACATGGAAAGCGGTGGTTTACCGGGGTATAGTGAACAAAATGGTACTTAACTTTCCAGTTTTCACTAAACTAAGTTTTGCAAATGAGCTCTCGTTTTTTCGTTAAAGGCGAGTACATATAACAAAATCTACTTTGTTACAACTTGGCAACCGTTTCGAGGTCGAACCTGGCCATGGAGACTCTCGAGAGACCTATCTCGCGCGTCATAACGTTGAAACCTTCTTGATAGTCCCGCCGAGGGTAAGGACATTTATCATGCTTCACATCGTTTCATTCCATTACACGTAGTACCTACGCTAGTTTCTGATTCTGATTCTGATTCTGATTCATCCAACTACGAAACCGCGTGACGATTGTTCCATTTTCATTAGAAGACCAACGGAGATTATGGTGAAAATGGACAAGGATTCGGTCCTACTTCAAAGATACCGTCCAGGTAACTAATGCCTGGTGACCGCCGACGTAGCGTGCACTTGAATTGTAATAGAGAAAATTTGGTTTGCGTATGACCCTGATCAATTAACCAAATCGAAAATTAAGAAAAGCTTTTCCATTGATTTCGAACAGATCAAGACCGAGTAGCAAAATGACCAAGTACGTAGAAAGTTGGGGCGCGGATAAACCGTTCGCCAATATCGCAGAAGCTACCCTCGCAAAAAATATTGGTCTGACGGTAAGTGGCTAAAGAAAAAATAAAACATAAGAAATTATACTCTTTTGGTTCTTTTTATTTCTTTTTGCTTCTTTTTGCACCGGTTTCCTTTGTTTTCTGCATGGAAAATTCTAGAGCGAAAAACAATGGGAACCATGATAAGATAACATTTCCTTTTCATTCCAGAGTATCGCGATGATCGAGTCGAATCTTTTGGGAAACAGTAATTCCAGTTGTTTCGTCGATGTAAAGTGAGTTTTTATCCTTGTTTCTTAAGTATTGGTCAAAGTAACCGTATCGTGCATCGATTCAAGCTACGTTTATATTCTCGCGTGCAAATGTGACAGACGATGGTGCAGTGGAAATGGTACCGATGGTATGTCTCCCCTTACCTATCGCTTCAACGACCAAGCTGAAGAACTTCGGTTCCGTGAACAGATCGACGAGCAGTGTTCCTGCTACTTGCCCGCATCCATCGCCATTTACGCAATCATTTTCTTCATTCAGATTATTTATTTGCCCAGGTAAGTATACTACAGTCCCACGTTTCCTTACGATTACACTGTGGAACAAATTTTGACCTATGTTAGTTTTTGCAATAGCCACTATGTAATTCTTATAGAGTTCCTTACCCTAAATACGAATCCGAAAACCAAATTGCTGGGTCAGGTCAGGGATTTTGTAAAATCGGTCGAATTTTTTAGAAAACCAAGTGTTACGTGAAAACTAAAAACGATAGGCAGTTAAAATTTGTCGCAAAAAATAAAGGAGACTTGCCCGATCACGTAGCTATAAAAATTTTGAATTTTGCGTATCATTAAATGTTTGTAAACTGTGATCAAAGTTTAAAAAAAGGTAGATGCGCGTACTTTGTATGCACTTCTGTTACATTTCTACGAAAAGTGGGTTGGCCAGCACGAATTTGCTTTGCTGTTTAATATGTGAATACACATATACGAGTAATATTATTACGATGATTAACACTGAAACTATCGAATCAGTCAAGATGGTCGGTATAAATTTTATTATCTGTCGATTATTAATATTTTGAAAGTATTAGATGTGTGAAATGTTTTTAAAAACTAATCAAGTTTACTGAAACTATAACGAATAAAAATACTTCCAGTAAACATCCATTGTAGATCGTACTTTGTTTAATAGTTTTTTATGTCAAATTTAATACTGAGAATATCATTAGATGTACCATTTAAAAAATCGATTACAATGATGTTTTTCCTTTTAGAAAACAAGCAATTTTTATTTAATATATAATTTTTATTTAATTAAATATATTTAATATATATATAGGTAGGTTAGGTGGATTTAGCAGGTCGGTTAGGTGTGTTAGGTGGGTTTAGCAGGTCGGTTAGGTGGGTTTAACGGGTAGGTTAGGTGGGTTTAGCTGGTCGGTTAGGTGGGTTTAGTAAACAATTAAACATTATATGGACCGTGGAAGGTTTTTTAAACTTTGATCACCGTTTACAAACATTTAATGATACGCAAAATTCAAAATTTTTATAGCTACGTGATCGGGCAAGTCTCCTCTATTTTTTGCGACAAATTTTAACTGCCTATCGTTTTTAGTTTTCACGTAACACTTGGTTTTCTGAAAAATTCGACCGTTTTTACAAAATCCCAGTTTTTTCGAAAACTGGACCTGGCCCAGCAATTTGGTTTTCGGATTCGTATTTAGGGTAAGGAACTCTATAAGAATTACATAGTGGCTATTGCAAAAACTAACATAGATCAAAATTTGTTTCACAGTGTTATCAATAACTCTGTAACGTCGTGCCGCGGCGCGGCGACGGTGTGATCGCGCGATCGGTGAATTCAATAACTGTGGCTTTGAAAAGTTTTTCTTTCGTTCCAAAACAAGTATCGTCAACGTACTGTTTCAAGAGGGTTGAGACCACAGTGAATCAAAGTTAGTCGTAGTTGCACGACGTAACGAAATCATTTGATTCGTTTGAATATAGAAAATGAATATTGAAAACAGACTGACGAGAGCGGCTACTAATTTTCGAGCATAGAACCGTATTTCTGTTACAGAAGCGTTACAGTTTACGGTTCTTTCATACCTGGTCTCTTCTTCTTATCCATTATCGCTGCTGCATCCTGGTTGTCCACCACAATCAGAAACAGAACCAAAACTAGAACCGACAGCGAACATATCAGAGATCGATTGGCTAAGAATAGAACCATCAGAATAATAACGTACTTGGTTACGGTATTCTTGTCGATTCTGTCCTCCATGCTCAGTCTGATTGATGTCGATCAGACAAATGGATACGATGCCATGCCGGTATGTATTACCATCATCCATATTATTAATTTCAACTTTCAACGATGCATTCCTATATGTATCTACGAATATATGCAAGCACGTACGTAGTACTATAACACTATGTATATATGTATAATACAATATATGATATATGATATAATAGGAAAAAGTATTTTAAGGGAAAAAGTTGTTTCAGTTGTACGTCTATTCTGCGGTGATGGTACTGATCGTTGGTTGGACTCACTTACGTGTCGACTTTTTGTTGAAATTTTTCGTAATGTGTACATCCGTTACAACGATTCTTGTCACGTTATCGCAGGTGCCGATCGTGTGGTTGTATCACGCGATTGAAAACGATGAGTAAGTGCTATGAATTATTACGTTAGCTATCATACGCTAACTTGTTACGTTAGCTATCTTATGTTTCAGATATTATCATATTCATAGTTTGCTTCGAATCGGATATTCACTGGTAATTGTATGCCTCGTGCTTCACGTTTTGGACAGGCAAGTCGAATACACTTCTAGGGTTGATTTTCTATGGCAGAGTAAGCTAAAAGTTGAACAGGAACAGGTGGAAACTATGCGAGGCATCAACAAGATTCTCCTTGAAAATATATTACCGGCTCATGTAGCCGAACATTTTCTAACAAATATGAGAGCCACTCAGGTGAGTCCAATCAACGAATTAATTGTAACAGACGTCTACGCAAACATTAACCACCTAAATACGCTACTAATCGTTCCGTTTAATTATAAGAACGGTTCATCGAACGAACTAATTCCATGAAAGGTTCATGGATTCGTTCATCTTCCTTTTCATGATTATGACAGGATCTTTACCACGAAAGATACAGCAGCATCGCGGTTATGTTCGCATCCATTCCTAATTACAAAGAGTTTTACGATGAAACAGACATAAATAAACAAGGACTGGAATGCCTGAGGCTGTTAAACGAAATTATCTGTGATTTTGATAAATTATTACTGAAACCAAAATTCTCCTGCATAGAAAAAATTAAAACCATCGGTAGCACTTACATGCTTGCCTCAGGTCTCAGTCCAGGGAAAGAAGACACCGATGAAAAGGTAGAGTAGTTCGTCATTTATCAGTTATTTGTCGCGCCGTCGAATATATGGCAACGATATAATTTTGTTCTTTTTTTCCTTAACTTGGCTGTCACGCGATACAATGTAATCAATAGTAAAACTATACCGCACATGATTGATCATGCAATTGCATATCTCGTTTCGAGATCAGACTGTTTCTAAACAACTCGTCTTGATATATCTTTCCCATTCACCGATTTTTAGGACCCGCTCAAGCAACAAGATCACAATATAATCGTCCTTGTCGAATTTGCCCTCGCTCTCATGACGATTTTAGATCAAATCAATAAAGAATCTTTTCAAAGGTTTAAACTGAGAATAGGTAAGTCGCAGGACGTAACGATGTTCCCATTCACAGCGATTTTCCGATTTAACTTTTTCTTTATCTATGCAATGACACCGCTTCAAATCAATGTCCCAATAATAATAATAATGATGATGATGATGATAATGATGATGATGATGATTATGACGACGACGATAATAATAATAATAATAATAATAATAATAATAATAATAATGCCGATAATAATAATAATAAAAATGTGGACCCTCCCACCTCCTCCTCCTCCTCCTCCTTTTTCTCTTTCTTTCTTTCTTTCTTTCCTTCTTTCCTTAGGGTTAAATCATGGACCCGTAATAGCTGGCGTAATTGGAGCCCAAAAACCTCAATACGACATTTGGGGGAACACTGTAAACGTAGCATCCAGGATGGACAGCTGTGGAGAAATGGGAAAACTCCAAGTCACCGAAGACACAGCCAAAATTTTAATGAATGCTGGATACGAATTAACATGTCGAGGACCCACTTACGTTAAAGGAAAAGGAACTTTGGTCACGTATTTTCTGAAAACATCTTTTGACAACAAAGAAGAAACTTACTAGAATTGCTAGCTTCACGATGAACTTACAAAACAGATGAAAATATGAACAAAAGAAACGAATGGGTTAGAATAACTACCGATCTACTTGGTTTTAAATGTGCAAGACCAAGAGAATGTACAGTGTATGGATCGAATACAATGAAATACGGACGTATGCTTTTTTTACTATGTATCTTTACTTATTTATACGAATAGAGTTGAAGCGCGAAGCGAACAGAATGGTTCTTATAAATGTATTTATAAGAAAACAGCTGTTTATTAGTTACTTATAAAATAATTTGAGTATAATAGTAATATAGTAATGGCACAGCAATAGTTACGCGTAACAGAGACCTTGATTTAGCAAACACCACTCGGGCTGCAAGCTTTCGGCAGAGATTCCTCTCGTTACGTATCGTTCTCTCTGCCTGAGCATTCTCTGCTCTGCGTGAATCCAAGACGAGTTTGGTTCTGCCCACAATCTTTCGGCAAGTGCCGCAGCTCTAGGCCAAATTTTTGAATCAATCGTAACACTATCAGCTTGCTCAGCCCAAAGAGCTGCTTCTCCTCCTATCGTGAGAAATGTATTACGTATATAATTACCATTTATTTCGCTCGTTGCAAGAACGCAAATTTTCGCAATTTCGGCACAAGGAGATACAAGATATTACCTAATATAAGATTCTTCTTATTCTCGAGACGTTTTGACCGGATTATCATCAAAGGAGAATTATCATAAACATTTTGCCAACCTTTGTAAGGTGCACACCAATTATTACCTTCGCCTATCCAAGCTGCAAAACTAAAATGAACCCAAACTGGAGTTTGATCAAAATTCATAATGAGAACAACAACAACAACAACAACAACAACAACAACAACAACAACAACAACAACAACAACAACAACAATAATGATAAGCAAGAAATATTTACTCACCCGCAGTCCAAATAAAGCGCATCGTAATTTGAAAAAATTATTTGAAAATTGTTTCGTAACAGTCTATCGATGGTAGAATCGTCTTTAGTTGTCCAAATTTGTACAATGTATTTGCTAGGATTCAGATATTGAATATTTTCAGCGCTGGTTAAACCGCTGGTCCACAAAACAACAGGTATATCTTTACCGTCATTGGCGACGTTTAATGCTTTCAATGCGTTGCTCTGAAAATGATCCCAAAGCATGTAGAAACTTGATTCCGATAGATTCCAACCTTTCACAGTTTGCATCCAACTTGTTATAGCGCTCGAAGAATTCCAACAGTTCAAATTCACTTCATCTCCGCCCATATGAAAAATGTCTGGTTGGAAATCCTGAATCATATCTCTATAGATTCCTTCGAGAATTTCATATACTTTTTCACTAGTCGGATTAAGTTGACCGCAGGGTGGTTCAACGCAATACTTTCTCCAGGGTTCAGCTTTGAAACAAACGACGGCATCATCCTCCACCTAAAAGCCCATGGCGTAATGCTATCACACAAGTATACCTATACTCTATAACCACCCACTATTTAACTATTTTTTATGACAATGATTGTGATTATGATTCCAATTACGATTACGATCACGATCACAAATGAAACATGTATACGTTTACCCATTGCCATCCTTCCCCTACGTGGGCAGGTGCATCAAATTCAGGTAGAACTCGAACGCCTCGAATAAGTCCATACGCGATGATTTCTTTGATATCCTCCTCGTTATAAATCTTCGTGGCCGTATAAGAGCCAAATTTCGAAAATTTTGGCCACGTTCTACTTACATAAGGAAAACTATGGGAATCGATAATGTGCCAATGAAAAGTGTTTAACTTCGACATGGCCATTCCATCGATCGTTCGTAATATTGCGGATTTGTCAAAGTAATTTCGACTGGTGTCCAGTAATATACCACGGTAAGGATAAACAGGTCCATCGGAAATCGAAACATCGCTCGGAATTTCAATTTGATTTCGTAAATCGTCGAATACGATCAATTGGCTCAACGTTTCTAAGGCATGGCGTGCACCAAAATAAGATTTTGCCGTTATCGTTGCGTTTAGTATCTAAATATTAAAAAGAACAAACATCAAATTTTCTTGCAATCCGCTTCCAATGTATTTCCAGCCAAAGTATTTGAAATAATCAATTTCATCTTTTCAAATATACACGAGACTAATAGTAGATGACAAGTATATAAATATAAAACCAATAAAAAATTATAGAAAAAAGGTATAAAATTACAGAACCATGAAACTGTGATACTATTTTGTATCTATAAAACTATAAAATTTTTTGATTCATTTCTACATTTCAAATTTTCTACATCTTGGTACCGCTCGATCAGATAAGAGCGGTTCACCTTGACGTGCCGATTGGGTCTTCATATTTTTTTAAATGTTCCGGGAGAAAAAAATTGTCAGCTAACAACAGAAATCGGAACCTAATGGGAAGAAAAAAAATATTCTTGAAATAATTGGCAACCTCACCGATTTGTCCACCTTGGAAACCGTCAGGGTATAACTTTCGTCCGTGTGTAGAGTCAATTTAATATTATCAGTTTCGAGAATTCCAATGAATCGCAAAAACATCACGGAACCACCGGTCTCTAATAATTTTCTGACAGATTTCTTCGCATTTTTTCTCAGTAAAATTACATTTTCTTCCAACAGATGCCTAATTTGCGTTCCATTTTTTAGATCTATTATCGAGATTCGATTAGGATCAAGTTGAACCATAGCTTTGCTTAGAGATAGGTGACCGGTTGGTTTCGGCCACAACGAGCTTGATGCGCCGCAAAATAATTCACATACTTCCAACGATACCGGAGCAATCGTTTCCTTCGTGATTAATTGTTTCTTGCAAAGCCCTCCCTCGCATATGTAATGCCATCGAGAACTACGTGGAAATTTAATACTTTATACAATATGATACAGTTTATTTATACCGCAATATTTTATCTATATACGAATGTTTAATTTTGTCAAAGATTAATGTCATATCTCTTTCCTGAGTCGAATTATTTACGATTTACGTGTACAGTACACTTGTTACTTTCACCGTGAAAGGAATAGACCGCGGTCTCGATTTCTAATCAAATCAAACATAACACAACACGTCAACATCGCCATTTACATTCGATAATTTGTAAATATTATACTATAGCAATAATGGCACGTAAAAAAATACTCTCTTCTTCATAATTATGCACTACTAACGGTGAATACCGTTGTTGGATGCATATGATTGAAAAAAACTCATTATTGCATTATTCATACAACTAGTGTAGTACGTACATTCATTATCAATATATCTATCTTTTGCAGATTTATCAATATAATCTACACATAGATATTTACTTACTCGTGCCCGCACGTCATGCACGTAAGTACATACATACTTACTTACATACGTATTTACATTACATTAAAACACGTAGTCATATACGGTGCTCGTACACCTTCCTATACGTTAAATTTATATACGTATGTCGGTATGTATACATGTGCTTATAGATGTGTATAAAGTACAAGACGTCAAATACAAAATGAACTATAAATGTACCGTGAATATGATATCAAATGGATACTTGAACACTTACCAATACGAATCCTCCGCGTATACCCTAAAATTAATTTGAAGGAGAAACACTGCAATTAATAAGACGATCATACTGTTTAAACAACACCTACGTACGAGATCGTTGTACCTCGTGTGACCACACGGCTTCCTTCAAACTACTTAATCCTCCTCTTCGCGTTAATATCGAACTTTCGTCGCAGTTGGAAGGGGAATTAAGGAATGGCGGCTGAACAACGCCATGTAATAAATTTAGAAACCTTTTTGTACAATATCGAAAGAAAATAGTACCACCAATATAATTTACTTGTAAAGTACAAAAATGTAATTGCATAGAAAAAATCAATGTCCACTATTCACTTATTTTCGATTGTTGACGTCTTTTCCAAATTCATATATTCTGTCCATTGACCTATTCCAGAAATAGATCGATTGAAATTGATCAATCGAAAAAAAGCATTAAAAACAATGAAATATAATACTTGTTTATCGGCAAACAAATGATTTACAAGTCGTTTGTTTTTCATCTTGCGATAAATAACAATACAATGTTATGTGTTCTTTACAGACAAAAAAAATATATTAACTAATGTCTTGTAAATTATATTGTCTTGCGACGCATTCTTTGAAACGTAATACATGTTATGACTTTATTTGATGAATGGTATAAACTAATCACAGTTCCTTCTGTAAGTAAGCTTAGTCATCTATAACACCTATAGTATATAATCATTAACTAATTAAAAAATTAATGGAACAGAAACAAACACACAGCACCATTCTAAATAATTCTTTTTATTTCTTCATTCGTCGCCACGTATCGCTCTATATTTGGCCAATTCATGTGGAAATACTCTATTCAGTTCTACCAGCATATTTGCTTTAAATTTTCTATACGCATCAATTTTTCCTTTTACTTGCTCATTTTTTGTTAATGCTTTCTCTATGCAGTCTTTTGTATACAATTGCGGATTTCTGCCTTGATCTATGTAACTGAAACCATATAAAAGCAATTAAACCTCTCATTTTAATAGTTGTTTATAGAAGATCTAGCTAAATTAATCCATGTGTACTCACTCAAAAACTTCCAAGGGTACATGAACATCTTGAACCTGAGACTTAAGTTTATCTATTTCTTGCAAACCGTTTACTAAAAGTTGACTGAAACCAAAAATGATGAAATAATACAATACAATATTCTTATCTTAACACAGTATATAAATTGTTGTTTAGTTGTATATATGAATATTTTCAACGATTCAAAAGTTGATGTTTTCTTGATTTTTTCGGAAAGATATATTCGAAATCAACAAAATGAAACAAAGTCAGATATTATGAATATTTCAACATTCGAACTACAAAGCACAAGTGTCAGTGTACAAAGAACAAATCGACACTGGGTAAGCATAAACGATACAAACAACAATACCTCTTATATAAAAGTAATGATTCAAAAATAATTACATATTATAACACTTACATCTTCTGATTCAGTACATTTTGTCCTTGAGGTTGAAAATCGCTCACTATAATACGTATTTGCCTTACATTTTCGATAAACAGTTCCAATTGTGTTTCTAAATTTTCTAGCGCGGACGCCATGTTTAATCATTCATGATGCGTAACTAGGTACTAACTTACACGACACTGCACATCTTCCTTATGATGCTTTTATACATATAGTATGGTAAGTACCTTATACAGAAGTAGGTACCTATAATTTTGTTCACAGACAGTGTAATCATAACCAATCCTGTGGAAAGAATGATGAATTTATAAATATATAAAACTTATGAGAGTGTAATTCTGAGCAATTTATACAGAATTACAATTAGTATTTCTGTTACGACACAGTAACGGATATACTTAAATAATAATATTCGATATTATACTGTACAAAGTCTTAATTTTATTAATAATATGACTTTGAATCGCGTAGTTGTAGGCAAGTTCGTTTTCACTTTGAAAATCCTATCAATTATTAGGTTATGTCATAAATATATTACCCAATTATGTAATTGTTTTAGGTGGTGGTAGAGGTTTCATCGGATCACATATAATGAAGGCACTAACTCTTGAAGGTATTTCATGTACATGTATTTCTCGAATGCCTGGACTTAATCGAATGTCATGGGTAACGTGAAGTACATGATATTTACGTAAATTGAATAATTGACAATATTAATACATAATGTAAAATCCGTAGCATGATGTAGAATATTATGGTTTACCTGAAGATACATCGGCTGTGATTAATGTTGCCGGTCAAAATATACTTGGTTTTCAACGTTGGTCAGAAGGATTTAAGCAAAATGTTATAAACAGCCGGGTGAGAACAACTAAATCTCTGGTTAAAGCAATAGTAAACACAAAAGCTAATGTTTTTGTAACAATTTCTGGAGTAGCTTATTATAAACCTGATAATGATATTGAGTATACAGAAGAAAGCAATTGTGAAAAATATGACTTTTTATCAGGTAAACTCTATATTTTATGTTTAATCTTTTCATACTGTATCGATTGTATTAGTATTATACGATCCTTTTATGTGCCAGAACTTTGTCACAAATGGGAGACAGCTGCACAAATACCACCAAATAGCAACATTAGACAGATTACAATTAGATCTGGTGTTGTATTAGGAAAAGATGGTGGTATGATTAAACAGATATATTTGCCATTTTTTATGGGTTTGGGTGGTCCAATTGCTAATGGAAATCAATATATGCCATGGATACACATAACAGATTTAGTCAATATGTTTCTATTTTCACTTAGAGAAGAAAATGTGCATGGTATATTGAATGGAGTTGCTCCACAGGTAATTATTTTAAAACCAACCAGAGTTAAACTTTTACAAGCCAACTCACTTTAAAAAAAATTCTTAACAGATTATAACAAACAAAGAATTTACAAAAACATTTGCATCGACAATGTGGAGACCCGCATTTCTTCCTATTCCGCGCCCTGTTCTGAACATCCTGTTAAACCAAGAACGTGCGAAAGTTAGTAACAAAGTAGTTAATGACATTCATTAAATTATTATAATATTGCTTTTGACAATTATACTATACTTCTTTTCAGATTATGCTGGAGGGACAAAAAGTTATGCCAAAACGCGTTAAGAAATTAGGATTTGAGTACAAATATCCAGATATAAATTCTGCATGTGCAGAGATACTTGGTAAAAAGTAACTTATTTAGAGTTAGATAAACGCTCAATTATACTAAACTGAAGTTTAATTGTACATATTTATAAAATACAATAGTAATTCCTAAGCATGTGTACTTACATACATAAATATATGTTGATTCAATAATTAAAAAAATATTAGATCCTATGTTGTATAAAATCAATCATAGTTTGTATATGACAATGTAGGTAAAGGAAGTCCATACCTTCTTTCATATACCGTTAAAATTGTGAAATTAATAACTGATTTTCTTTATATTGTTCAAAGACTTATAAAACATGATTATCATTTTTCACTCAAAAAGAAATTTATTTCTTTTCGAAGTTCTTGCAGTTCTTTCCTTGTAAAACCTTGCATATTCACAGAAATTGTTTTCCCATCTTTGCACAGGATGAAAAGACCCATCTCTATTGAAATTCCAACATATCTGATGTTGCTTAGTTTAAATACAGTACAAAAGTTACACCCTGTTTTCAAACATAACTTGTCCAGCCAAGTGTATTTTTTAATAACAGCAATATCCTTATCCCTGTCTAATAATAAGTCTTGACATTCTCCAACTGTGTCTAAACAAAAAATGATCTCTCCCAGAAATAAGATAATTCGATAAAGATAGTTGTTTGTTGTAGGCCAGAATATTTTAATGAAAATAATTACTGTCACTGAAAATAATAAACGGCAATTTTAATATTCCATCTATATAATATACACATATACACAAAAAATTTCAAAGAAAATGAATATACACAAATATAATTATATCTTACGACTGAGGAACGATAATGTGATAAATTTCGGTTTCCGGGAAACATGTAATTTTCGTTCATTCGAAATTATAATTCGAGGTTTCGTAGATAAAATCATATTACATCGTGGAAATTGTTCACATTTACATTCAAGTTTTGATTAAAATAACATTTATATCACAGTAATAAAATAAATTTTGGTGATGTATCAGAAAGATGTTTAAAACTGTTTCTCAATTGTTATTCGCTGAAATATTGCTATCTGAAAAACGAAACTAAATAAAGTGGTATTTAATAGCTCTGTATATAATAATACCTGTACATTTGATTATCACTGAAATAAAATCGGGGGGAATGAAAACAGAGGTAAATAATAGACGGCAAGCGATCAGTGTTGTATCGTATCGTACATTTTATACATCTAGTTGTAAATAACTAGGTAATGTAATATATACATGATGTAAATATTTTTTGTGTACACATATACATATGTATACAAAAAAAAAATTTAGATTACAGCCTGACAAAACACGAGACGACGCATGGAAGAATGCCAAACTAACATATGCAAACAAGCGCACGACATATACACAAATAAGAAATCGGCAGATTATAAAATGGCGCGTGCAACAAGAACAGCTGTTATTGTTTACAGACGAACCTTTTCTATAGTGTGTACGAGTTGAGATTGATATAATATTTTTACGTGACGAACAACCAAGATCTGCGAGTTTTTTCGTAGAAGGTTAAAATAAAGTGAAATGCATCCTATGAAAAATAGAAAAGCATAAATTGCCACGATGACGGATGAGTTTCAACGGTAAAATAGTTTGTGTGTAGAGTGGTGGCAGTGGCAGCGGTGTTGTAACAGTGGTGGATATGATACTGTAGGTATTCAAGGAAAAGAAATTCTTAATGGAAAAATTAATCAGATTCATGGGTACGCTACCGATGATAATCATCGAGCGACTGGAAATCGAACTCTTTTGGAGTATTTTCCACGAGAAGCGAGAAAATTAAAACACGTCTGTCAAAGCAAGAGAAACGAAAGGAGAAGTAAGTTGCTCTAAAAAATTCAAGCAACACTTATTTCTCAAAAGTTTAACATTTCCTTAATTGCTGTACATGAAAGTGTAAACAAAGTGTTCGAAGAAGCGAGAAGTTGCATTCATAAATGTTCATGTAATTTCAAAATAAAACGTACATGTCGAATATTCTACTTCCAAAGTTTTTAAAGAATCTAACAAATTCTACTTCTATGACGTTACTCATCGATCATTTAATTGTATTTTCGAAGTACTGGACAATTTTCTACGATTAAAAGATGACCAAATATCGTTCAGTATTGCAACGAGTCTCCAGTGATAATCGTCGTATCTACTACTTGTATGAGGTTAGAATTGATCGACGCAATTACATTTTTCTTTTTTTCTCATTTAAATTTCTTGTTTATATTTAACGTATTAAAGTCGAATATAATTTTTCCCATTACTGTACCGAATGATACTTAACGCGATTCAAAATAATCTTATTAGATATTTTATCACGGTCTATATTATTATAAAAGGTTTTATCATTATCATCGTCATTATTGTCATCCTCATCATTAACAGTATTGTCATTGTCTTCATCATCGTTGTCATCGTTGTCATCATCACCATCATCATTACCAGCATCACCACTATCAAATATCATCATCGTCATCACCA